CTTTGAAGTTAGTTGGCATTTTGGGAATGTATGATGATTTGAAAGTGTGTGCTGTGCCTGTATCAATGTGGGACATGAATGGTTAATGTAATGTCCTTTTAAGAAACCATTAGTGGTTGCGTAAAGCAAAAATCTGCGAAACATTGATTCAAAAATTTGGTTTGTTAATCTTGGTAAAAATTTACTTGTTGTGTTTGGACTTTGGTAAATTTTAATTCCAGAAATTACCATGTTAGGAATTTCATTTTCCAGTCAGAATGAAATTCCAAATATTGTTTTAACATGAGTGAATCTAATTCCCAATGATAAGATTGACTCATTGTTAATATCCAAGTGATAGGGACATTGGAAAGTTGAAATTACAACTCCCTGTGTGTGAGGGGTTTGGGAAATGCAAATTTAACAAAGGGGTGGGCTTTTCCTTCCTTCAAGGAGGAGGAGAGACAGATGATGTAATTATGTGCAGGAGTTTACACCCCATTCCCTTCTTTTTGAATCCAAAGCAGATTAAAACTAATTAACCCATTCTGCTTGACGTGGAATGGATGGAGCTTGTTTTTCTTTTAGAAATTGGAGACACTGAAGGCTGAGACCATTTGCAAAATTTCAACGTTGCAACACAGTGATGGATGAGGCACCCTCAACCCATCAAGCCATTCATCAATAACATATTTCAGTGCTGGGGGAAGTACTGTGGAAATATTAATTGTAGTGAGTGTCAGGAATCGGACAAAATCCCCGGAAGGATAGGGGATTTTAGTTGTGACAGACAGCATGTCGGTGCAGGCTTGGAAGGCCGAAGTGCTTGCTCCTGTGCTGTAATTTTCTTTGTTCTTTGTTATTTGTACCTGAGAAATCGGGACCATACGTGGAGATATAAGTAAAACCTCATAGGTCATTTGATAAGATCATGTGGGAGTCAAGAATACTTGACATTGTCTTGGGATACCAAAATAAGTGTGCAAAAGTGAATGTTACCTCAGAGGTAACAAACATGAGATAGTAAAAAAACATGCACTGAAGAACAGGTCTCAGACATGTACACCTACTTGACAAAGGATTAGTGTGGCTTGGAAGAGTCCAAAAACAGAATTTAAATGATAACACACTGACAAAAAAATCCATTGAGAAACCGTCTTTAAAACAATAAAAATAGTATTAGTGAAAGGCATGTAAAAAGAATTACAATCAAAATAAAAAGTGTGTTTGTTTATTATATCAAAATGTTACAGAAATTAAAGAATATGTACTCTGGGAGGAGTAATAGTAGACTGAGTGAATGGGCCCATTGGATGACATACAGATACCCATCTTGAATGTCTGTATGATGCATGTAGTCCAGCGATTAAACCAATAGGTGAAATTGTAATGTGTTAGGACAGTTAGTGTATGTGAAAAAAGGCTGAGCTAAGACTCAGGTGGTGTAGGAGTCTGTGGTAAGGGAACCCCGGGAAAAATAAAAGGCGGGACACATAAGTTGAAGGTAAAGCTTGATGAATGTTAGAGCTGTATTGTTTGATACCATGTATATTGTAGCTCGAAACAGGTACTTGCATGTGGAGGAAATTACCACTCAATGATTCAATCATTCATAAAATTGGCAAGGGAGGAAACATTGGAGAAATATCCTCAAGACAGATACAGATGAAGAGAGCTGGAGAAATTTTGAGTCCATGTGTGACTTTACTTTACTGTTATTGGGTGTTTTGATCTGTAGATTGGGAACTAGAGAATGAAGAAAACTAGAAATTAGGGAACCTGAATCTGGAAATATACTAAATTTTAGAGCAAATCATGTAAATAGATTAACTGCAAAAAAAGTGTAGATGATATTCTGGTTGCCTCAGTCAGGTGGCATGACTTGCTAGTTCCATCACGGCCTTGACTGTACATCAGGAGTGGGATAGATATTTAAGGGTCAGTCCCCAAGACACTGTGATTGTTAATTTGATGATACACCCTATTGTTATTTTATTGTATTGATGATAGTTATTTTCATTGCAGTTTTAATTTTTTGGTATAGGTTCTGATGGGGCTATCGCTGATTTGCATCTGCATCTGCAATTGTACATGCACTGTCAATTATTATCAGGGGTTCAATGTATAGGACCGGCCAAAGGGCTAAAAGTTGATGATGATATTTGACAGCTGCATGAGAAAATAGATTGTACAGGATGGGAAAACAGGCTGGAAAAGGTAACGATGATACTTAACAAGCTGCATGGCCTTGAATGAGCCCTGTGAATTTGCCTTTATGGCTGAAGACAACACCTGTATTTCTGTAGCTGTGTTTTGTGTATTGGCTAGCAGTTTTGTCTTCTGTATCTGCTATTCTCTGCACTGGCTGTTGGTTACACTGTATAAGAGAGCAAGTTTTGTTCCAAGTCGCTGGACTTCACTTCAAACCGGAATTGTGAAAGGTGCCA